CAGCTCAATTATGTTAACTGAAATTTCCTTTACATAAGATGCGAAATTAGACACATAGTGGGGAAAAAAGAACACTTTTTGACTGTATAATTAAATAAATATGCCTATTTTCAAATTAAACATAAATGAAGATTAAAGAAATAAATATACGCAATTCCGTAATTGCATATGTTACGAAGTACCAGGATTTAGAACGTTTGTCGACTTTCAAACCAGCCTTTCTAGTAATTGATTGTGTAATCTGACAAGCACTGGTATTTTATGCAAGAGTTAATTCCTGGGAATGATATGGCCTCGCTGCATGTATATCTGCGGTTTCTCGTGTGCTTTTTCTTTTGGCTAGATAACTGATTTATTCTTATAGCGCATTCATGATAGAGATAGATGGAATGCTTAGGTTGGGTTGAACATTGTGTACCCTTTTTCTTAGTAATTATTTAAATTATAAATGTAATCGTAAATGGAAATTTTAAGGTTAGCTGTAGGATTTTGCAATTATTGTTAAAACATCCACTTAAGAAAACGGAATTAGAAGAAATTTTCGTTTGGCTTGACAAAACCTTTAATTTTTCATTTAGAGCAGTAACTTTGAGAAGCATTACGAACAATATTAACAACAGTAATTATGGTTATAGCTTCAAAATATTAAAATAAATGTTTCCAGTTTACTAGAAAATATTACACTCTACTTTTTTATGTGTTATACACCTAACAGAATATTTATACGAAATCAATGATTTTCAAAAAGAATTCCGTGATGAAGATATGTGGTGCTTAATTATAAAACATCAAGAAATTGTTTTTTTTCACTTTTCTTCACATTTGCACTTTTTGAGTATTTGAGAGAGAAGCATGCTTATCCTTAATTAGTTAATCACATGAAATCTTTTAACTACATACATAAGAGTTGCTTTCTCACTGAAACCTTAAAATTCATTAAGTTTATAATACATAATATCTGAAAATATTTTTAGCAATTACTCTAAATGTCCCAACAGTATTTGAGTCTAAATTTATTAATATCTAGAGATCTACTTTGTGCACCAATACAGTAGAATTTTATTCCGAGCATTATATTTATGTTCCTTAAGAGTAATATCAGTAAGGCATTATTGAAAGCTCAGAATATCCATTTTGACAATCGTTAGTTTACAAGAAAATGAAATGTAATTGCTTTTCTGTGGTAAGCAATCACCGTAAATAATTGAAAATCCTATTCAAGTATTTAATTTATTCGGTTCTCTTTATTAAATCAACTGAAAAGAGCACCTGTTTTAATAATACACGCATTGAAGTAAAATAAGTAAAATGTCAGTTGAAGAACGTGTAACTAATCGTATTTAAGAGAGCAAAATTAATCAGGTATGTATATGTATAAAACTATGCGTATAAAAGCGGGAAAATATTTATTAGAAATGTTATCAAATTTTGATTTTATTATACTTTAGATATTTGCGATTGTACTGCTATATGTGGACAGAAGCTTTCAAAGACAGAGAAAAGCGTAACAAATTATGCCATAAAAATATTAGCTGCCTAAACATGTGCTATAAAAATTATTCCTTTCGATTTCTTTGTTCAGTCTCATGCTATAAAAGAAATAAATCACGGGAAAAATGAACGCTCATTTTATCCTTTAAAATACCTTTCTTACATAGCGCAATCAAGCGGCAGGGAAATTCCATTCGCCTTTTACTCCACATTAACTACAATTATTGTACTAAATCATATAAAGAGTGAATATACTCCAAAGAATATTTTTAATGCGCTCTCTTGTTACACATTAAGCATTTTAAAGAAAATGACTTTAAGTGATATTTTGTAAAATTATAAGTTACTGAATCTTATTTCATATATGTATCGTGTTTACTCGCGTATTCCCCCCCCGTTTTCAGACTAATTTTACCCTTTGAAAATCGAGAGGCAAGAAATATGTGGCATATATTAATTCTGAAGAGATAACTTAAGCAGAGCATATTAAAAATCACATACGAAGACGTACCGCTGTTATTATATTATGTATTTTAGAGGACTCAATAACATTATTTTTTACTCCCTTATACGAAGTAAAGGAAGTATTAGAGTAGCGAAATATTTCATATATATTTGATATTTATGTTGGAATATATTATATATATTCCAACATAAATATCAATTTTGATCATTTTCAACATTCATTTGAATGATTTAGTTTTTGCTAGACATCTGTACTTACGGTCAGAATAAAGGACTGGACTGTTATTTTACAAAACAGACTGTAAAATGGATTTAAAGTGGATTCAAAAAGCATTTTTTTTCGTGACGTCTATATATATGCTTAACGAACGTATGTGTAACTTTGTAACAACGAACGTAATCTTCAATGTACAGTTTCATATATTGGAGTGGTATAACATTTAGTTGTGCAGTTCCCTACTTTACTGAAATCGACAAAACGAAACGTATGTAGAAATCGGCGGAACGAAACGGTCTCTCGTCTGGTAAAGGCTTATCAAATTACATCGCATTACTTTATAGCTGAAGATTCATCTGAGACATGTTAAGATAGGAGAGTGATATTTCTTAATTTTGTTTGAATGGAACAATTGGAATAGCTTATTCGATTTGGTTATCGAAGGTAAAACAGGCTGCCAGCATTCATGATTTAGTGGTTTTTCTTTAACTCATCTGTCCCGGAAATCCCAATTAAGAAATAGGTTTCATTAATAATCTTCACAAAACGTCCTTAGGGCACCCAGCAAACAATTAACTGTTTGTTACCTGTATCCAATAGAATGCAAATCTTTACACTGAATTTCATCTATTTAAGGCAGAAGCTATGTAGACGGTGTTATTAAAACCATCCAATTGGGATGTTACGCAGCTTATGTTAACATCGATTCATCATTACAAAGCATTCTTAGACCAAGATACCACTACAAATATTTGATATCAAATGATAATCAAACGAAAGACTAGTCAATCTGCAACGAATTCTGTGCTGTTGTTGTTGTGACTTATCTCACTTGTCTGACAGTAACATTAAGACAAACCCACGAAATTTATTGAGGTAAAAAATGCAAGATTACGCCTGTCATTGTCAAGAGCCCTGAACACCATAGAGGTGAAAATACGGCTTCGCTCAGCTTCGTACGTAATTTTGATGGAGAACACCCCGAGAGGGAAGGAGTCCGATGATTTACAACCCCTCTTCTCCCCTACCATAAACCTCTCGGGAGAACTTTTGGCTTCCTTCGTATTTAGAATCCCCCCATGCCGCACAGACACTGTACATTTACAAATATCTATGACTTCTCGGGCATTCAACATGCCATCATGTCTTAACTTTCAATACACTTAATTACCACGGGCTGTCCTCGAGTCACATTGTATAATTCATGCATTGATATTTCCTGCTATTTAAGCAGAATTGTTCTAAGAGTCAATAAAAGAAATTAAAAAGGAGCTTCTTTCTAGGTATCGTTTTCGTTAACACATACTTTTCAACAGTTGTATGAAAAAAATCTAGTTACTAAAAATTAACTGAAAAAATTTCTTTAGAAAAAGCAGCATTCTGTCTCCTTTATCAGTTCCTTGATTATTAATCGAAAAGATGAGGACGCATCTAGGAACACATGTATAATTAATAACGCTTAGCATTGATAATGCAAGTATCTGTTGCATTTCAGCTCAGTGAAGTGCTTAACAATTTTCAATTAAACTCATCTCTTGCTGGCACAACAAAAATGTTCATTAAGAAGCGCATTAACACAAAAATGCAAAAGTGCTACTAAACTTTACTACGTTTTGATAAGCATACATATTAAAGGGTTGCAACTGAGGCAGTTTCATATTTTGCAGCCATTATAACACAACAATTAAATAATTCGTAAGTACAAAATTTACTCTAATAACTGAATGACCATTAATGTAAATAAACAAAAGTCTTTCGCCAGGCAAATGGCTTAAAAAGAAAATCTTACTGAACATGAAGTTTTAAGCACTAGGTGACTAGCAATTGCTAACTTCACAGCCTCTAACTCTTAGATGTGGTTGGGCAGCAAAAAAGATAATCAGCACACCAGACCATTTGTTTTATAATTTCGCAGTATTGTTAACTATTTGGGAGTACGTGCTCAGTTCCTTTATGAAATTATTTAAAAAGAGATGTGTGTATTGTATAAATAAGATAGATAGATAAATGACGATATAGTTAAATGTTAGATAAAAGTATAAAAATATTATAATAATGAAAAAAAAAAGTCTGAAAGGTTTCAAATTTTAAATTACGTCCAAAGAGCCGATTTTTTAACGTTTTGTGTGTTACCTTTATTTATTAAATATCATATTTTTTGAACTTAAACCATAAAATTCAGTTCAATAGCAAAGTCGCAAAATAATTTTAAAATGAGCATGTATTTAGAATTTCCGATACACAGTTTCGCGCGCTGGAGATAAAAAAAAAAGTTTTTTCCCCCGTAGAGTGTTGCCATTGCTCGCTTTGAAATCCTTGAGTTTGTTAATAAAAAATTAATTAAAGTTTTACAAAATATGAAATCGATAATAAAACAAATTCGAAATTTCAAATTTGGTCTTCCACATGCCCATATTCGTAGGAGGATTACGTCATTCAAAATTCGGTGGCTCTATGTACCGTTGTTTTATCACAATGCGAGAAATATACATACATTTATGCAGAATTTTCATTATTAAATTTCTTCAAATATAATGCAGGACTCTAACATTTGCTGGCAACAGTTTCAAAAGTGAAACGGACATTTAAACATTTATAGTGATTCGACGCAAAATCGCAAAACGAAAATAATAGTCCTTCAGGGACAAAGTTTCTTTGGACTAAAAATGCTACATTTTTTTTATCAATACATGTCGTAATTTGCTACTGTTCTGAATGATTATATTCTTATCAGATATATCACAAATAAATTAGCACGTGTTTGTTTTTTTAACTTATTTATTTCATTCATGTATTCTAAATTTTTATATGTGTTTTCACTTTATAGGGGTATGAAGGATCACTCTTAAAAGTCACAAGCAAAAACGGGAAAACATCATCGGTAAGTAGCTTCGTTAAAAACACAACATAAATTACGAAAAAAATTGTGCAGTACTTTAACTGTTTAATTAGTTATTTTCATTGATTCTTGTCTCTTTCGGAATTAATGATACAAGGAAATATTTCTAAGTAAATTAATTAGTTAATACATCCAGCGCTTCTTCTAACTTCGCTTTTGCATTGAAAGTGTGCTAACTTAATTAAAAATCTCAGGCTCAGCCAGCAGACCCTAGCGAGAAAACATGTGCCTAGTAAATATTTGATACTTTAATCACTTAATTGCAATTAAGGAAATATTAAAAACAACCGGTCGATGTTAATGAAAATTTTCTTATTTTTCTATTTCCTTTTATCATTGTTTTTTAAAATTTTGGTTTATTGTTTTAGACATTACTTTATTTTACTCTTTTTTTTTCTCTTTGTGCAGCCAGTTGGTTTCGTAACTTTCACGACGAGGGCCGGTGCAGAAGCAGCCAAGCAAGATTTGCAGGTAAATAACTATTTAATTAACTTCCATTTCTTTCCTTGATATCAAGTATTATGCAGACTAGCTTCCGTATTATGCATGCTACATTTGCCACCGTTTTCATTTTTATAGTGGATCCTTAACAAATGGAAAATTCTTATAGTTAAGAGCTTTATTTAAAATTAGTTCACATGTTTTTGTGCCGGTTGGTGTGCATTGTTTACGAGATTTAAGCTCTTCATCGGCATCTGTATATTTTTAACATATATATATATATATATATAAATTCTATACTTTTTTATTATCTGCCCACTATCTTTAGACAAGCGCTGTGCTTTTGAAATATTTTCGAGTATATGTGCTGACAATAACGAATCCATGTATGCTCTTTACAACACACATATTTGAGTAACGTGTTACTCAAACATTACGTTACATTTAATCGTGATTTCGAAGATTAGTCGAACTCAATATTATTTCAATCTTGAGGAAGTTTAATGATATTGTGGAGTTTGTGTACAGTTTAGAACGAAATCAGTAGATTTATTTAGCATACTTTTATGTTAAGGCTTTAAAATACTTATATAAGGCCAAGACTGGAACTTGATGTATTTGATTACGAAGCTTACAGAAATGCTTCTCTGCCAGATACTTATTGGAATATGGGTCAATAAAATATGTCAAGGCTTCGCCATTCAGTGCCAATATAATGAGATTTGTTCATGAATGGCAAAATTCGCAGACTCCGATATCGTCTTCTTTGAATATGAAGGAGAACTAGCCCTTTCGGCATATGTATCAGATATTATTTTTAAATATAAAGGATGTGGTACGTATTATTCAATAACATGCTGTTTTATAGGAATGTTGCTTTATCCCACCCACCTTCACATTCTCTAGCTTGAATAAACTCTTTGATACATCAAGATTTCATATAGTGAGAGGATATCTACAACTGAGAGGAACTACGAGATTCGCATATTATTGTTATTAGAAATTTAGATGAAGAATTCTTGCAATAGAAAACTAGTGTGTGTAGCATGTGACTTTTGTCCTCATTATAGCTGGTGGAGGGAAGGTAGAAATTACGAAAATGGTGTATATTAATTTTAATTATCTTTGCTTAAGGATTTGTCATATTCAAATATCCTGTTTAAGTAAAATAAGTCAAACTAGAGTTGATGAAGATTTGGAATTTAAAGAATTGAGTATGTATATACTTGCTGTCTAAGACTGTAGAGACATTAGGTATTTTGGAAGAAGGAAAGATGAAAAATGAGCAACGCCCTCGCCAGGAATCGAACCACGGACCTCTGAAATACGTTCCTAGCGTACAGACCACTACACTACTAAGGCATGCTAAGAAGGCGGGGAAAATACCTTATACACTTATTAGAGAAATGAAAGACCACATGTTTGACAGCTTAGTAGTCCATTAAGTATAACCTTTTCTTTTCTTAAAAAATAAAGCATTTTGTGTACCTTCTTTTCTCCCCCTAGATGAAGTTGTATATTTTGGTCACAAACCGAGTATACGTATCTCCATCTGGAAAACACAAGAATTAAGGGCAAACTTGTAAAGGATTATGGCATTCCACCTTGCCTGCTATCGTAGTATAAATGTTTAATATCTCAAGAGGGAGATCTGAGGTTCCAATCCCAGGAAAGGCACTATTCATTCTTTATAATTATTGCTACCAAAAAACCTATATATTCGTTACAGTGGCACCCAGATTAAAACCATGGTGGATGATAAGACGTCAACACGTGGATTCAGTCGAATGAGTCTCTAGTCTATTCCTAGTCGCTATTTTAGTGCATGGATATTGAACGAATAATCGCATTTTTCTAAGCATTTTTTTTTTTTTTTCTTTTTTTTTTTTTTGTTAAGCAATGGATTACAGCATCCTACGCACAAGTGGAAGATTCATGGTCATGATGCCGGAGAGTAGTGGTTGATTTTTCATATATTCTGCCTCGATTAAACCAAAATGGTTTCTATGAAATTAAACACATTTATTGTTCTCGCGTTCTTTGGAGATGTTAAATAAGTAATATAGACATAACCCCTATTTATTGAAAATATATTAACTGAGACATCGAGATTTGAGATGTCCGCTTTCTAATATCATTATAAAAACTGCCAAGTTTCAGATGAGTGTACAGATGTAGATCATAAAATTTAATTTTGCTAAATATAATATTATTTTAACACTAAATGTCGTTTTCTGCAATTCCTTTTTGTGATAGACTTCATTTCCTAAGAAATGGAACTCTTGATAGAAATAGTGTGCCAGTTTCTATTTTCAATAAATTTAAATTTATTCAGTTTTAAAATTTTAGCACTGAATAAATTATCAATATCTCTGTGATGGTTATGTTGCGTTATTTAATACGACAGTTAATATTTACGAGATATTTAAATAATATAATCTTTATAATCTGAAATTCAAAGAGAATCAGGAAATTATAAGCCCCATTAGTGGTCAAGCAGTTACGAGAACTTAATGTTGGTAGTTTGAAACCGTGCAAACAGGCTGGTTCTGTCGGTTTTAATTTTATGGCTGTATTTCTTTCGTATTTCATAGTTTTCCCGATGTATGACACGAATACATATATAATTTCCTTTAGAAATATCTCCCCTGAAGTCATCCCTCCCTTTTAGGCAGATAGCCTTCGTAATTTACCATATCCAAATATCATAATCTAATTTCGAATTTTCAAAGGAAAAGATACCCACAGTGAAGAAATATGATGTAACTAGCACATATGAAAATGGTTTTCTGCTGTGGACTTATTTTCTCAGCGAAGTTTTATATAGTGTCTTGTTTTAATATTCGCCTTTTAAAATACGGTAATTTTCTTTAACGATGGCTTTTTTATTACAATGTCCTAGTTTGATTAGGGTTATTGTAAACCTACTTTATATTATATCTTTTTTATATAACACTGAACATATATCGGGGAAATGTCTGCCAAATGAATATTTTAGCATCACAGAATGTATTATAGTCTCAGTATAAATGGGGTTCCATTTATTTATCATTGTATAATATGCTGCAGATTAATATTTTTTACCACAGTAACCGAATTCGTCAGTTATTGAATGCTATCCCGCAAAATTAATCCGAATTATTAAATCACATATAAGGATATTTAACTGTCATCAAAACGTATTGAAAAAAATCCCGATTTATAGTCATATATGGATTCCTATTTTTTTCCTTTCCTAATATCTGCTAAAACTCTCGAAATTAAAATAACATACTATTGTTTCCTTTTCCTTAAAATAAAAGAAACAAACATACTATTGTTTATCTTTTCTTAAAATAGAAGAAACAAAAATAAACAAATTTTTATTTTCAAAGCGTTCATAAGCAGCACAATAAAACAAAGTAAACGCTTTCGTATATGAATCGTGCAGTTAGGCTACTCTACGAAATTTTTAAGAAATTACAGCTGATGTACAGTACTGTGTGAAACGAATTAAATTTTGAAATGTTTCTATTAATATGCTGGATAAATTATCTACGTCTTATTGTCATTCAACACCTTTATTCCGTCTAGGAAAACAGCAATCACATGCGTAAAAAATAAATGCTGCAGTTGTTGCATTTAAAACTATCTTTAAATTAAAACAGATACTTTTAATGACAATAGTCTACGCATTTACTGTTTACAGGTTACATATAATCATTCGCATTATATTAGCTTTGTGCTCTTAGTTTCAAAATACAAGTTGGAAAAATGCCAATTTATTGTTACATAATCCCTGAGAAATTTATCAGCAACAAGTGCTTGGCAGCGAAAAATTCCTCCTTTATTCCTGCATCTTTCGCTTTTGTTTTTCAGGCGGCATCACAAGAAGTTAATGAAAATTGTAATACACCTTTTAGGTAATCGCTTCGGAATACAAAAAAGAAAGACTAATTAGTGTTTGCGGAAACCTAAATGCTGTAATTAAGGCTGAAAGAAATTGCCTAAAGGTTTATCACTTCAAAAATTAATTTTGTGGGGACTAAAACTGAATGGTGCAACAGCCATCATAGAATAAATACTAAGGCTGTCAATTTTTTTCTATAAAACTTGAGACATGGGTCCGTGAAACAAAACAAAAGCTTAATTATATTCAGGTCTTGACATTTTGTTTAAGATGGGCGTTAAGAAATACTTCCCGTGAATGCGTGAAAAGTGATAGCGTTCTTCCTTATCTCGGAAGATTTAACCTTTTAGTCTTTGGTGCAGTTTCAAAAGCAATCGCTTTATAATGCATGAAAGTTAATCTTCTTCGGAGATTGTTTTGTGAGAAAACAGCTTATATTTTTGAAAATAAGACGGGATTTTTCTCTAAGCTGATTTTCCATTGACATTCGTAGGAATATGTTTATACAACTGAACACGAAATATGCACTTAAGAAGCTTTATATGAGAACTAAATACCAGATGTAACTTCAACGTGTTTTAAGGTATGTTAAATTTCGTCGAACTTAAAATTATTTCCTTATCTCTATGTATTTGCTTAACTGGAAAACGAAATGAAAGGCATCTGAAAATAATAAAGTAGGAATGAGTGAAAACACCGTGAGAACCATTTCGCATAAAGTCGTGATTTCAGTTCAAGCTTATTTGTCTTGCTCGTAGGAATATGCGTTTTAAATAGTTATATATCTATAGGATGTTGCTGATTTAATTTTACATTTCTGAAATTTCAAGTACGTATTTTCTGTTTTACATGAGGCGTTAATATTTTTATCTTTTATCAGCATATAGAAGGAATTCAAAAGATAGCAGTGACTTACAGATATTGTTAAATTTCGATGTAATTTCAATGTTTGCCATTGAAAGAGTAGTCGACTAAGGTGAAAGCAAAACTGTCAGTCAGCACTACAAAATTATTATCTTGTCATTTCGTTTTTCACTTAGAACAGAACGTCCTGTAATTTCTATCTGGAATATTACTCAGGACGTTTATTCAATGAATAAGCTGTTCTTGCAAAATGAATACTTGAACATGCTGCTGTGCT